GTCTAATCAATTCTCTACAAATTTTCAAAGTGACATCAAAATCGATTTAGTAGTTTTTCTACAACCCAAACGTCCAAACAGAAGAAGACATGATTTTTGGGAAAGCATGTTTAAAGTTTTTATTATGTTTTTCTCCAGTTTTTTATGTCTTTACCATGAATAGGCTATGGTTGGGTCATTCAGAACGCTTTAGTTGAACTCATACATTTCATTGACTTGAACTGCTAACTGAATTTCTGCCACATCCATACGTCACACCCGTTTATAGGGAGGACCACCCATTCATACATCCATTCATTCATCCACAGATAGTAATTTTGACCTGAACCGGAGAACGATCAATCTCCAGTTCAGTGCCCCAAAGGTGCTTATTTGTTATGGGAGCATGGAGGACTTTATGACCCGACATATTTAACGTGTACCAGTCACTGTTTATTACCGCCGATTGGATTCGAACTCCCGTTCTCACGAGCGAGAGTCCAGCACCCTGCCGACCAGGCTCTCCCGGTCCTATTTCTATACCTGAGAGATCAATATACCACAGAGCAGCGACTCCTAAATAGTGTTTCGTGGAATCCTAGGGTTCCGTAAAAGATTCACAGGGGTTCCAAGAATTTACATTTTTAAACCAGTAATGATTTTTGAAATCTGTAATTATATTTATATCTAAACAACAAACTATAATTTATTTGATATTTTGATTGTTTTTATAAAATTATTTTAGTAAAATGCCAGTTAAAAAATTATATAACAAAATTTGTAAGAAATTGCATTAGTATTTCTAGAACTTTTCAGTTCAAAATAAAATTATCACATTCAAGAATGACAAACTATGTTTCTCTGATAACTATTCTCATTTTTTATAAGAGTTCTTTTCCAAAATCCATAATTCACAGCTTATTTTAATCATTTTCATTAAATGTGTGCACCAAAAACAAATTCAGAACTATACTAGATACCACTCCAGGCCTGTTAATTCAAACTGTTCGACATAAAATCATATTATTTTTAAGAGTTTTAGTGATAAAACGATTATTGAAAAAAAATTATTATTCACATTAAATATTATCAAATAATCTTTCTTTGGTTAGTATCTTGACAACTTGTAATAAATTTTATTGATTTAGTAAGGGTTCCACCCAAAGATAATTTGGAGTTCCGTTGACGTGAAAAATTGGGAACCGTTGCAATAGAGATCACGAATATTGCAAAATAGTTTTGTTTTTCTTAGCTTTGTTACAATATTTTAAACTTTTCTATCATTTTATGAATCTCGTTAAATGAGCTCTCCAACATTTTAGAAGCATCGGAACCCGATAAATTTGTTGCAAAGTGTGTTACAATCTCACGTTTCAAAAGATGTTCTATATACGTTACATTCAAGGGCAATACTTAGCACGATTACGATAAGAAACAATTTAAAAGGCAATTACCTTACGAAATTACCGATTTAGAAGAAAATAAATCTTAAAAACATAGTTTCTAACACTACCGTTTTTTTTTTTTTTAGAAACTGAACACAATTTACTTCGCGTTCTTTAGTTTTCTAGAATTCTCCAATAAATTCTACACTTTACTGTTGATTCGACATGAATTTTAGCCTGTTGACGGATGGAACGTAGCTTAAATTCGTCCTTGCTTTCATTTATCTTTTTTTTTTTTGCCTCGGGGCTTTGACCTATTACTTAAAGAAAGTGTTTTCTCTCTTAATGTAGCATTTTTGTTTATATGACACGTAGTGCACAACGTTTCAAAGAGGACAATCCACATTCCAAGATTTTTATTAGAGCCCGAATTCGCAATTTTAATAAAACGATTTGTATTCGTCTTAAAAATACGAGATATCATCTATAAGATCGTCTAATTATTTGTTGCCGGCACCATGTCGAGGTTGAACAGCATTTAGTAACCAACTGTTAATGTTTGAAATGAACATCTTGCAATTTAAGTTTCTGTAAGCATGAGTTAACATTGTTATATTTTAAGTTCCATTTTTTTTTCATTATTTAGTTGAATGCCATCATGTTTGTAAAACAGCTGTTGGCAAGGTTGTTTGTTTTTAGAAGTTGTTAATTGGATTACTAATGAGACGGCATCTTCTAATATCTCGTGTTCCATTTTAAAGCGAATAGTTATCTGCTGCGAGGTTCTTCAAAACAAATAGATTAATAAAAATTTTCTGTAAGGTAGATGTATTTTTCAATTGGTGATAAATAAAGCCAACTCAATAAATAATTAATAATTTATCAAAAAAATTCTTCTTCCTTTTATTTTGAACAAATAATCTGCAATTCAAGGTTTTTCGTTTGAGTCGAAGTTTGCAATTTTACGAGTGATTTATATTCGTCGTTAAAATATGAGGTATCATCGGTAAATCTTCTCAGTGTTTGTTTCTGGCATCACGTCGAGAGTAACCCAGCATCATGTCAAGAGTCATGTCATTTAGTAACCAACGATTAACTTTTTCAATGATTATACTACTTAAGTTTCCGTAAGCATGAGTCAGCATTATTACATTCCTTCAGATCATAGATTCAGTATCATTCAGTAACCAACGATAAACTTTTTCAATGAACATATTAGTTAAATTTCTGTAAGCATAAGTGAGCATTATTGCATTCCATCAGATCATAGATTCAGTATCATTTAGTAACCAACGATTAATTTTTTCAATGAACATATTAGTTAAGTTTCCGTAAGAATAAGTCACGATTATTACATTCAAAGTAAAGTTTTTTTTATTATTTAGTTTAATACCATCATGTTTATGAAATAGGTCTTGGTTAAATTGTTTGTTTTTAATAGGATTTTGAAGCAAACATATATCTGCTACAAAATTTATTAAAACATATAACGTAATAAAATCATTCTTTAAGGTAGATTATGATCAGCAACAGGCATTAAATTAAGCCATAACTATCTTAATTACGATAATACTTTATCTAACGAATTATGAATTTTTATTCATTTTACCTCTGAACATAGCATGACTTTAAGCAATTTAAACAGAAGATTTTCCGAACTCTGTTCTGAAATACAAATAGTTGCAGTTTTACTTAAAATGGGTGTTTTCTTCCGTTAGCTACCACTTATTTTATTTTTCTTGGGGGGGGGGAGGATTTAAAGTAAATATATAGGTTTTTGTACTATAATTAATTATAGTTGGTAGGTCATACATTTTGGTTAGTCTTGTTTTTCCTAACTAAATTATATTAAGAAAAAATTGAAACAACATATATTTTTAGAATATACCAGCCTTGTCAAATTAGTTATGCCCAAACTTAAGCTACCGCTTTTTATTTTTTTCCATCCTGTTTCAGATTTCATACGAATATATGCATGACTCGCCCGTCCCGAAAAGGTTAATAGGCATATTTGAGGTCACGCCCTCAAACAATTAAGATTGAGTTCTAGACCGGGAAGATCCTATCATTAAACCAATGGTTATTCAGAGTGGTATTTTTTATTATTATTTATTTATTTATTTCATTTTGTGCTCACTGCAGTATGTAGTTACAAAGATTTAGTCTTTATGTTAGTTTAAGCAGCATGTAAAAGTACTCAGAATGCAAAAGGTTAAAGCGTAAAAAATAAAATATATCCATCATCTTGCTCATGCAATCCCTTTCTCCTAATCAACCTCAACATTTTATATCATAACGTGTAGGAATTTTCAAAAAGTTTTGAGAGTATGTAACTTAACATTTTAACTTTTAAAACAATGAAATCTTTTCATCACATTAAAATGATCAGATTCACTGAATTCCGAAACGTACTTAGTCGAGTATTTGGGTCGAAGGAGTTAAATACGAATCCGTTAGTTTTGCTTTTGGTTTTGAAGCTTAGAGAATCACTAGTGAAAGTTTATAACATCACTATAAACAATTTTCATAATTATCGGACTGCAAAATTTCACTAATTTCGTAGATTATTTTCGAATGGTAGTGTGACAAAAAAATTTGTTTTTTTTTTTCCATTTCTGATAACAAATTGCATATCTGACAATTTTTTCTCAAGCTGTAGTAAAATGACAATTGAATTACAATTGTTAGCAGCTATATTTTATATTCATTTTCCCAACAACTAAACGTTCGTTCGTTCGTTCGTACGTTGTAGTGGAACTGGGCGTTTGAAGCCCTACGGCCCTTAGCAACTAAACAACCTTATCGTGCCTTTATATGTATGTTTAATTTGTTCAGATAGATTGGTAGTGAAAATAATTTTAAATTATATTTATTAATTCAATATGTGAAAAGGAAGCAAAAATTTTGCTACCACTTATATATAAATTATTTATAAATATAAATTATTTATAAATATTATTTATAATTTTAAATTAACCATAGTACACATATTCTCACATTCCTTTAACTCACCCTCCCCCCCTTTTGTATGTATTCCCAAACCCAAACTGTAAATATTCATTAGTGTTTATTTTCCCATTGTACTTTAATTTTACCTTTTTCCTGTACTTTTTTATAACTTGTAATTTTGTTATTACCTAATAATGGCAAAGTGCCATTTTTTCTTTTTCATTTCACGAACTCCATTTTGCTCCCCAAACTTTATTTTTGCCATGTATGTTTCTTTGTCTAATTTCAGGATGAATGGGAAAAGGGCCGTAAGGCCTCAGACGCCCAGTTCCATTACAACGAACGAACAAATTAACCATAGTGGCAATTATGTTGGTAAAAAAGATGTCAATTATGAATAATTTTCAAATCACCAGGCCTGTTTATATACAGATATTTTAGACTAAATTAAGGTTGTATTGAACTTCTCTAGTTCGAAAATTTTACTTGGAAGCCGTTATCTTGATTGAAATTATGATTAATCAGCATTAAATGCATTTGCAATATTTCTTCGTCGTATTAATTCGGTAATTAATTCTTTCATATATATTGTTAGTTAAAGTTGTGAGTTTCAAATGATAAAGTTTCAATATCATTTAATCACTTCTTAACTGAAAGGAATACAACAAAGAAACAATAAAACAAACATTTCGTCAGAAATTACAATTTATTTAAAACAATAAAATTTTAACTGTTCAGTTTTAAAATCTAGAATAATCCTCTTACAGTGGCTTGAATCAAAATATATATCATTTCCTACTTGTAATAACTTAGTTTGTATGGAGAATAATAGCTTCCATACGTGACAGGTTCGTACTGCAAAGTGTTATAAGCTGGCAGATATCCGTAAGAAACAGGAACCGGAGCAAAAACTCTGAAATAATTTACAAAAATATTGTATAGTTTATAAAATATTGAATACAGCAAGTTTGTTTATATGCATGCATATATAAATTATGTATATATTATAGATAATTCATATATTCTGATGGGTGATAAAATATTACGGACACATACTAACTCTATGAAAACAATTTTTCTTTGAAAAGCAAATGCTTTGGAAGATTTTACGTGGTGAAAGTGCATGCAAAAAGCATGCTTGAAGTTTTAAGGAATCGGGCGGCTCTCTTAACCCATGCAAACTTCCCATCGACCAAAATGAGCATAGGAATTTCAAGGTTTCTTTCCTTTATCAACACCATTATTATTCTAAAAGCATTCTTATATAAATATCACAATCCTAAAGAATGATATCAAAATTACTGGAATTATAATGATTTTAGAATGGCCTCTCCTCATTTTGGTCTATCCGAATTTTGCATGGGTAAAAAGGAGACCATTTCTAAAAGCATCAAGCATAATTTTTCAAACTGTGCCACCAGTTTTACCCATGTAAAATCTTTCAAAATATTTGCTGCTAAAAATATATTGCTTACATAGAGTTAGTACAGAAGTGCTCATATTATTTTGCCATCCATCTGTACATTATTGTATTTCAGAAGACCTATTTCAAACTTTCCTTGCCTTGTAATTTTTCTTTGCAAACTCCTTAGCCTTGTAATTTTGAGCCCAATTCAGAAGACAAGGGAACTCCTGGATCAAGTATTGGGCGAAAGTTACCTTGGTAGAGGACGTTTTGAGGGAACTAACCCTTATTTGCGTGACATAGAGTGGAAAACAACGAATACCTCCCACGGTTAGTCTGACGGCAAGGAGACTCTCAAGATCCGTCTACCACTGAGGATATTTCATGTCAGGACTGTGGAAAGCACTGTCATGTCAGCACTGTGTCGGTGCAAGACTGATGCGGAATTCATATCTCATATCGACCAACCGTCGCTGGGATTCGAACCCAGTTCACCTCATTGAAATGTGAACGCTCCATCTCCTGAGCCATTGGGGCTCTCTGAGAACTATCAGTGACGGTCTCAGTAACATCCCTGAGGATTGTTGTTGTAGTTCATTTACGTCGCAATAGAGCTGCACAATGGGCTATTGGCGACGGTCTGGGAAACATCCCTGAGGATGATCCGAAGACATGCCATCACAATTTTGATCCTCTGCAGAGGGGATGGCACCCCCGCTTCGGTAGCCCAACGACCTGCACGCGAAGTCGAGCACTTTACGGTAGCAGAGTTTAACGAGTACCAATACCGCACACCCTCGGTCCCTACGCAGACTGATCTAAGTGGTAACCCACCCGCACCCTGACCGCGGCCAGTGATGCTTGACTTCGATGATCTGCTGGGAACCGTGTCTTAACGATCAGTCCACTGCGGGACCATCCCTGAGGATGATTCGGAGACATGTCAACACAATTTTGATCATCTGCTGAGGGGATGGCACCCCCACTTCGGTAGCCCGACGACTGAGTGCAAAGTCGAGTATTTTACTGTAGTTCTGTTTAACGAAAACCGATATCGCACACCCTAGATTCCTTCGCAAGCTGATCAAATTGATCACCTACCCGCTCAGTGTCCGCTATCAGTGATGCTTGACTTCGGTAATCTACTGGGAACTGTGTCTTACTATCTGTGGGACGTAGTCTAAATTTCAAAAAATAATAAGTATTACTTCACGAAAGTTTAATTCCAGTCCTTATATTGGTTATGTTCCATATTTCATGTTAAGACGAGTTTTTTTTAACAAAAAAAAACACTTTCTCCGAAAATTTTTCTTGAAAAAGTAACTAAACTTAAGAACATAAACGGTAAACGTCAAGCAGCTTTTCTTTAATAACTTCTTACCTCTAAGAGTTTTAATATTTTTTGATTGGTTTATTTAAATTGATTATTTATTTAAATCATACAATCGTAATGTAATATTGATAACATCTTTTTTATTATCATTAAGAAAATTGAACGCGGATCCATGTAGAATTTAAAAGGTGAATTTGCAACTCAATCCCCTGCTCGCTAATGCTCGTTAAACCTCAGAAGAGTTGATAACGCAATACGCAAAAAATTGCCAAACAATTCTCTCTATGTTCACAAAATTATAACGCTTCTTCCGAACACAGTTATCGTCAGAACAGTAGTAAAGATGAGGCATTTGCTTAAGTTTCACATTTGTAGAAACCCACTCTTGTTATTTTTGGTACCTGGAAGCTAATTTTCGGAAATTCGACCATTTTATTATCGAAACTTCAATGACCTTCCATAAAATATCTAAGTAAATTATGAATAAAAAAGAAAAGAGACTAATATAAAATTTTTAAAGTACTTGGACTAAGAAAAGCAATGAATAATTCGGTTAACGTCAAACCGAAAACCATGCACTTTCGTGATTAATTTCTAACACCAACAAAAAAAAAATCCCCCCACACATCTTTCTAAAATGATGAATCTAGCATATTTCATTTTTACTTAGAAAAAAAAACAGAAGAATTATTTTTTTGTTTCTTCATCCGCCTTTAAAACATATCTTTTAAATTTTTATTTTATTTTATTATTTTATATTTAACAGAATACTGAGACAGCTACATAATAGCTGTTAACCTACAAATCAATATGTTGCTATTATATAAAGAGGTAAGAATTTAGAGTAATTAATTGCATCTACATACATGATAATGGCGATTAAGAATAACGTTTCGAATACGACCGTTTAATAATAGTTTAAGTTTTTCATCATATTTCTTACCTTCGTGCTATGTTTCTTATGGGTGCTCGATAAATAGGTGCTGGAGCAACTATGGATGGAGCTGCAATGATTTTAGGTGATACTACAGGTGAAACAGCTGGAGCAGCATAAGATTGGACAGAAACGTCAGCGGGGTTTTGGTTTGCAGTACCTGGCTCGTTGGTTTGGACATTAGCATGGAATCCTGTTTCATCGGCATAATAATCAACAATTCTAGCTCTGCCATCGGCATCAGTCACGGTGTAAGATCCAACAACTCTACCGGATCCATCTGATGTTTCCTGTCTCGAACTGCCGCCACCAATCGCAGGAGCATTATATCCAAAGCTATAAGGCTTCGATTCTTTGACAACGACAGGTGCCTAATTAGGAAACAAATTATAAATTATTTTTTGCAAAGGATATTATTCTATTATGAGGGGATTGAAAAAGTAATAGGCAGGAGATTCGTATTGACAATTTTGAGAATTTAAAAACAATAGTCTTAGAAAAGCCGTTAACATAATACATTTATTTTCCCTTTGAAAAGCAATTTATTTAATAACGATAATGGTAATTATGTATAAAACTTAATATTGATGCGTACAAGTGCACATAAAACGTTTAAAAAATTTTAAGCTTTAAATTCTAAAGTTTTCGGCATCTCATAATAAAATGACGATTTTGAGATTTATAATAAAATGCTTTTCACATACAATGCTAAGTCGAATTTAAAAGATTTTTCTTTTTTTATTCCCTTTGTTCTATGCAAATTTCATTATGAAATGCTTTATTGAAAGAATCTCTAACAACAAAACCAACTTTACGGTGGAAGTGGAAAATTTCAAAACTAAACTTTTTTGCAGTTACTTTCCAACTAATTTTGTCAGTCACCTTTTGGCTCAATTTAAATTTCCAGTTTAAATTTAGTTTTTGAGATTTACATTGCTGATACTTTATATATATACTTTTGAAGTAACTCTTTCTTTCGAAAGATACTATTTGATTCTTTCAAAAGTCAAATTTTCTAAACTGTTTAAAAACAGTTACAGGAAAAGGACTTGTTAAAACGTATACGGTTAGGATTAAGAAAATGAAACAGAAACAAAAAAAAAATATTTTCGATACAGCGATGCACTTTACTTTTAAAAATATGGGTTTCATGTCTTCAACAGTTTTACTTTGATTTTATGGTAGGGATAAGTATTTAAAAGGAAATATTACTTTAAGACGATAAATAATAAACTATTTTAAAGTTTAAGGATGGAACGACATTCATTCCTCTCCCCTTTTAGTTTCGGATGGGAATTAGCATCAACAACAACAAAGTTTAAAGATTCTTATAAGTTTAAGGCTTACCACATATTTCAATGGTGCTGGTTGAACATAAAATGGTCCTGGCTTATACACCACAGGGGTACTCTGACCGAAGACAGCCAGTGACAGTAAGACCAACACCTGCAAAATAAATAGTATTTCTATTTAACCCCTTAACTGTTGTTTATAAATTTAACACAGTAAGAAGGAAAAAAAAGTAAAAGAAAAAAAAGAAAAGTAAAAAATACTTGAAAAACTTGTTAAAATACCAACATCGTCCCTCGATTCAAATGATTCAGACCCGGTTCAATGCTTTATATATATATATATATATATATATATAGATAGCACNGGGTTCGTACAGTCCTTAGATAATTTGAATAACGGTGTTAATATTTAAGTAAAGAAATTAATAATTTCTTTTTAGATTTTGCTAGTTTTTTAAGTGGTTTAGCATGAAATATCTGATAAAAAATGGTGAATTATATGAGCCTACGAATTTTTTTAGAAATAGTGGTGGATAAAAATCTACTAAATTGAATTTATTAAACCAAGAATCACAATTAATAAACTACCACTCGAAAATACTTATTCACTGTCCGGCGCAAGTTGGTGTCTCTGTGTATAAATAAAGCTATTTTTGTGAGTTCTATATTGCATTAATTTCTTCAAACCATTTTAATAACGATAATAATATTAAAAAAATTAAAAATTTACTCGAATTATGTGTTTCTAATAATCTTGGCTTCGCCGGTCACCGGTGACCCACCGTGGAACAAACTCAGTGCCGGTCACCGGTGACCCCATGCCATTCAACTAGTTAAGTATATTTATTTGGAAATATTAAGCATAGTAATGAATAGAAACTTATTTAAGTACTTTTTTAAAAAATTTTGCTTTCATATTTAAAATTTATTAAGGACCGTACGAGCCTTGCACTTTGACCATTTTAAGATTGGCTGGGATAGAAAATCTTACTTCCCGAAATGAAATTTCAAGTTGACAAACTCTCTACTGAAAGTAAAAATTTCGCAATAGAATATGCTAATGTGAAATTGGGAACAGAGTACCTGGCCATAAGGGCTATCAGCTCCTTCTTCGAAAATAATGATACTGATGACGATTTTAAATAAAACACGCTTACAAAATAAGTGATTATTTTAGTATTTTTACCACATTAACTTAATTGGTCGTTAAATATTTAATTTTTATTAAATTAAGGTAGAGGCAGATAGTTTGGGTCACACAAATCAATAAATTTAAGGGGTAAAAAATTTACTAATTTTCTCATTTACTTTCTAAAAATTTCCTAAATATTAATTAGTAGCACTAAACCAAATATAAATTAAATTAAAAATATGTAATTAAAAAAAGCATTGAAAAAAGAGAGGGTACTTAGATAGATCTTCGCAATATTTTGAGGCACTGATTGGCCAGTTTAAAAATTAAAATGTCTTATCTCGAAAACATTTGTTTGTAAGGATGCCACGCGCTACTATTTATGTAAAAAGTGGTCGAATCTCAATTCACTTTTATTTATTTATCATATCTTTAATTATTTAATCGTGTACTGTGACTTACATTTCATATTACTCATATACAAATATTTTTGCATTCACTTTTAAATGCAAAATGAAAAATAAATGTTAACTGAAAAAATTCATTATTAAAAAAATGTCTTTTACTTTTAAAAATATGGGTTTCCTGGCTTTAACAATTTTACTTTGATTTTAGGGTAGGGATAAGTATTTAAAAGGATATATTACTTTAAGAAGATAAATTATAAACTATTTTAAAATTCAAAGATTCTTATAAGTTTAAGGCTTACCACATATTTAAATTGTGCTGGTTGAACATAAAATGGTGATGGCTTATACACCACAGGGGTACTCTGACCGAAGACAGCCTGTGACAACAAAACCAAAACCTGCAAAATAAATAGTATTGCTATTTAACCCTTTAACTGTTGTTTATAAATTTAGAGCGTAAGTAAGAAGAAAAAAAGTAAAAGAAGAGGAGCAAAAGTAATAAATGTTTAAAGAGCTTGTTAAATACCAAGATCGAATTCTTGATTGACTTGATTCAAATAATTCACACCCGGTTATATATATATATATA